ATACAGGCAAATGGCTCCTTTCAAAAGAAAAGCCAAGGTCATTATACACACACAAAGGGAATTTGTATTAGGTTCTGTGGTATTGGTAGGCAGAGAGAAATAAAAGTGGCAGAAATTGAGCAACCAGGGCCAGGATGGAAGTGACCTTGTGGATAACAGGGAGTGAATACCATTTAGAGTAATGAGAACTCTCGGGGAATAGGACCATTAGGTACAAAATATATGACCGTTATAATTGGCTACTCACCCTCTCCACCCATATGAAGAACCCAGTTTTTAATACTCTGGTGAATGAGAGACCTAAAAGAATAAAAGAAAAAGCAACCAAATGAGGTGCAGAAATTGGACCCTGACCTTCAGGAGTGTGTTCTGACTTCAACCTTATTGGTCAGGTGGTTCCCTGAGATTGGAGTTTATAGTTCTGACCTTCAGGCACAGGAAATGGGCTTCCTCCTTCTGATACACAAGAATGATGAACACAGTGAAGATCCCTGATAGGCAAAGAAAATGCTCATGCAGTGAAAGGAAGATTCTATTAATCATAATAGTAGCTGCTATTAATGCACTGTTCATTCTGTGCCCTGTACTGTGCAGAAAAATTTACACACAGCTTCTCTTCATCCTTTCAACTATTCTCAGAGGTAAATATTATCTCCATTTCACAGAGGAGGACACAAATTTTCCTAAGGTCGACAGACAAGATCTAAATGCATGTCTATCAAACAGCAAAGTCCAACCTCTTCACCTCTAAGCCAGATGACCTGAAAGTTATCCAAAAGGCAGTTTGAAGACAAGAAAGCTGACTTACCTGGGGAGAATCATGGCCTCTGGTGATGACTGAAATATTTACTATATTGACTAAACATCATGTTATCAAAATTAAATTAAATGCACTTCAATACATTTGAATTCACAAAATTACTAAGTAAGCCATAAATTCTGAGCCAATTTAACAGTATATGCCAGGATTTATATAGCCAACGGAGTGAAGTTCCCTTGGAAACAGTCATCTAAGGAGACTATTTATTCCACTATTGTCTTATGGGAGGTCTACATTTGAAATAAACTTCCAAGTATTAATGCATTCTTGGAGTATTCTTGGTGGTAACAAAAATCATGTTCTTTTAAGGCAAACTTGATTTCTGAAGACTGCAGTCACCTGGAGTCAAGTCTAAGAAGCAATGGGTCCCTCACCATTATCATCATAGGGTGTAGCTATAAATCAGTGACACATAACACTCTGGGCCACACAATCCTTTTCAGAATGTGCTTAAACCTGTGGAACCTAGAGATAGGGAGGGGGAGGGGTAATGGGAGGAAGGAATATTTTGCATTTGAAAGCACAGGCTTGTTTCAATATGGTAGGCACTTTTAACAGGATTTTTTTTTGACAGTCTCACTCTTCTCCCAGGCTAGAGTGCAATTATTGTGATCTCGGTTCACTGCCTCAGCCTCCTAACTAGCTGGGACTACAGGCGTGCACCACCACACTTGGCTCATTTTTGTATATTTAGTAGAGATGGGATTTTACCATGTTGGCTAGGCTGATCTTGAACCTCTGACCTCATGTGATCCACCTGCCTCAGCCTCCCAAAGTGCTAGAATTACAGGAATGAGCCACTGTGCCCAGCCACTTTTAACAGCTTTGTTAAAAATGGATTTCTAAAGAGCTCCCTAGAGTCCCCTTGGAGTGTGCTAAACACATGGAGGCCCATATGAAGGGTGGGGATGTTCCATCCTCCAACCTCTCCCTCTTTAGTGCCACCTTTCTCCATTTAGAATTCAGGTTCAAGGAGGGCAAAGGGTTTGGTTTTATTCACCAGTGTTCCTAGACCAGGGCCTGACACTTACTAAATATTTATGTGTCATTAATATGTATATAATGAATCAAATAAGTAAATAAATGGATAATTTAATATTGGGTCACAGGTAAGATTTCAACTACCAAAAGAATTTCTGTTCTAGAAACAATGTTTAAGAACCACTGGCATAGATAATTCAAGTGGAAATACTCCTGGGGGCATAATGTGAGGAGGCTAGGTTTTCTTTAAGGTTTAGCAAAATCTCAGAAGAAGTAAGACAGTGTGAGTTCCGTTTGAGCATGAGTCCAGTGAGCATCTCAACACAGGGCATGGTAAACACACAGAGGTAACACAATGGCAGTCTCTGAAAGGGGTACCTGGATCAAAAAGCCCAGCATCACTTCAGTCTTTGCTGATGGATGGGGCTGTCAAAGCGGTCATATACTTGAGTCTTTATAAAAGAAAGAAATAGCAAGAAGAAAACCTGTTCTATAATGTTACTCTTTTGTATGTACCTATGGGTGGCCAAAGAAACAATGATTGATGACTGGTCCTGGACTCACTGACTAAAATAAAGTGCTTTAGTTTCTGGTTGAAAATGAGGAATGTCAGTGCAAAACAGGAGGCCACAGAATGCATATTCAATTCTACTGCAGAAACATCTTTCAACTTTGCCGAAAATAGCCAAAAAAATATTTTTTTTTCTTAGAAAACAAAGATAGGCATCGAATTTATATGTAAAGATTTTTCTTTTAAAAAAAAGACAATTTCATCTGGCAAGAGCAATACAAAGGGGTTATATAAATTTATTTTTCATGTAACAATTGATTCGGTTAGAAAAAATTCCCATTTTCAATGTTAATTCCATCTCTTATTTTTGGAAAAAAATCACTGAAAGGACAAATACCCACACAAAAATACAATCTGTATCTGTTCTATATTTACAGATAACCAGTCAGTCATTATTAAGGCGCAGATTGATTAAAAGTTAACATTTATTCAAATCATCAATATTTTGTGCATCATATAACAACCCTGTATACTGTAGTGTCATATTCCCTTCATTGCATCAAGAGAAAGTGAGAGAAATAATTTCCAGTGTTTTTGTTTTTAGCCACCGTATTTAATCATTTAAGTGGGACAGTTTTCCCTTTGGCATATCAAAGCACTGTTCATAAAAGCTACATCAACTTAATACTGCATATTCATTCCATCATCTTCCTCCTGTTGCAAATGCATGGTAGAAAGCTGGGAAAAGAGCTCCAAATGATTATTATCTGGGAAGGTCTTACTAAAGACCTAACAACATTTAGAGTCCTGAGTTGTTGAACAGGACACAAATCTGGAATTGTTAACCTGTACTAAATGTTTATTATGATGCATTAATATAATCAAATAAGATGGATGTTCATCACATGATCCAGAAGACCATTTGTACACATATGCGCAGGATGACTAAAGGGAGTGATTTTGTTCAACATCCTTAAGCAGATAATTAAAAAGGGCAGGCCCTCAGTGCCAGTTACAACTGACAATTTTATGACATACCCATTATCTATGCCTTCAAAGTAACCAATACCATTTTTTAAAGTGAAATTTTTTTCTGTGTGCAAAATGCCTCTTCAGTTCTTGTTCTTTAATGGTGTGATTCAGCAATGAAAAAATGTCAGCCAAGTATTTCTAATCCCATGTTTGTATAAAAGTACCCAGCTCTTGTATATGCTTATCTAATGCCATCTACTGAGAGCACGTGAGAGTTGTTTATGTCCGTGTAGAAAATCTTGACTACTGAACATAAATAACTCTTTACAGGTAACTTGACAACATTTCCCATGGGAAAGTTTTCTAACAAATTAATATACTTGGAAATAATATTGCTTTGAAGAAAGAAAGGCACTTTAGTGATTTTCTTCATGGATTAAAAACACTTCATAAATCCGTAAGATCTCTGAAAAGACCCAGGAAACAATGTTGCCTGATTTCTTGGACTTTCACAGTATAAGATTGTAATAATGAATCTAGCCACTTAAAAAATATCCTTTTCCTTCAGAACTTATCTTCATAAACTGCCACCCTGGAGACTCAAATAAGCCTGTTCATTCTCAACAAACATAAGTCTACTTCAAGCAGACAGGGTTTTAGGAAAGTCCTGTGGCCATATGGAACACAGCTAACATGTACATGATAAGGATTGTAATCTATTTCTTCTCATAATGGCAACAGTGCTGTCTTGTCAGATGATTATTTGTCTTTTTAAATAAAGTGACAATCTAGGGCTCCAGTTATTGAATGTCGTCCATTCTCTACCATAAATCTCTAGTAAATATCAATTTCATCAATTATGTACTGTATGCTTATAATATCTAAAAATAAAAGTTTGATATAAATAAATGTCCTTTAGTGGCAATATACTAAAAAACAGCCCTTTGCCTCCAGACAACCATTAAAATAATTTTAGCATTACGGGCAGCAGCTAAATATGACGACTGCAAAGGGTTAATACTGCAAAGTCCATTTGGTCTTTCTTTGCACCTATTACCATGAACTAGGTCCATTGCTAAGTGTTTCTGGATGCTAACATACATGAAACAGAATTGGTCCAGAAGCAAGTGGACTCACATTTCCCAAAGTCATGGAATACTCTGCAGAATACAGAAACTAAGATCCAGTACCATTTCAAATGAAAGTTTGATGTAGTCAGAAAAATGTGACTAAATCTGATCTGTACCAACATATTCAGTGACACAAAAATGGGGGAGAGAGATGGAGACAGCGAGAATTTCCACAGGACAAGAAATTAGAACATGTAAAGTGCTGAAAGACCGCAATAATCATTTTAAAGCAGTACCAGAAAATTCCACTTTGATTATTTTTTTAAAAATCCCCAAATACCAAAACGAAACAAGCAAACAAAATAACTTGAGTTTTCTGGCATCCCAGATGTCAATTCATCCTTCATTTTAAGTATTAAAAATAAAATCAGTGCATATGTTATATAGGTAAATAAAAACAGGAAATAAAGCCCTATCCTCATATTGCAAATTCTGTCCAACTGCCATTTTAAAAAAGTAATCCATATTTGGCGTTTTATGTGACATCACGAGAACATCTTCTCTTTTTTTTCCTTTGTGCCATAAAATACAGGTGCGAATAAGATGCTTTGGTCCTGATACGAGACACCCAGAGTGCTGAGGACGGTGTGCTATGAAGGCTGTTCACAAATCTCCTGTGTCCATCTTTACAGTTAGTTGGCGGGCATGTGCCGAGAGGGCACTGCTACCAGCGGCCACTGACACTAGCAATGTCTGAGTGATACTGACGGGGTAGCCTTCCACTTGCTCCACCTTCCAGGAAAGAGGTGCGTGCATTTGGCGATTCGAAAAGCTTTCTTCGGTTTTTATTTAGTTCTAGAGAGAGAAAGAGAGAATTGTTAGGAGCTCAAGAGTATTTCTATGTATATACAGGACATCGCACTAGAGCTCAGAAAATGGTGACGTGGTAGGTTTTCTGAGGAAAGTCAAGTCTGGTAGCAAAAGGAAAACTTTCAGTTGATGGTGAAGGCATTTCTGAAACACTAGAAAGTATGATATTAAAGGTAGCATATTGATAGTCTAGAGAACTAAGGACAGCAAATACTTTCTATTGCAATCTGTAAACTCCGGACAGCAAATAGTTTCTATTATGGTTTGTAAACTATATTGGAAGATATATCATTCTCAGAACTCTAACCAAATTAAACAGTTTGACCTACTCCAAAGTCATTTCAGAGGCGAGAACAATCAAAGCTGGTGAAAGGCACATGAGAAGACATATTACTGATGGCATGGAAAATTATGGCTATTGAACTCATCCATGTCAAACACGGCAATCATTTAGTTATTAAAGTCAGATATGAAAAGAAGACCTGTGCCTAAACACAAGGATATTGGAGGAGCACCCTGAAGTACAGCTGACCTTTGAATAATGCAGGGGCTGAGGTGCCAACCCCCTCCTGCCCCATGCAGTCAAAAATCCATGTATAACTTTGACTCCCCCAAAACTTTAATAGCCTGTTGACCAGAAGCACTACCAGTAAGTTGATTAACACGTTTGTATGTTATATGTATTTTGTATTGCATGCTTACAATAAACTAAGCAAGATAGAATACCAAGAGAATCATTAGGAAGAGAAAATCTATTTACTGTTCAATAAGTGCAAGTGAATCATCATAAAGTCTTCATCCTTGTCATCTTTACATTGAGTAGGCTGAGGAGCAGGAGGAAAAGAAGGGGTTGGTCTTGCTGTTTCAGGGACAGCAGAGGCTCAAGAGGTAGTGCTGATAGAAAAAGAGGCAGGCACACTTGGTATAACCTTCCGAAAATACATCATAATTTGTCTGCCATTTTTGCTTTTTTCATTTCTTTAAAAATGTTTCTATGTGGTACTAGTCGTTCTTCCACTGTTTAGTTTCAGTGCCTGTATCATAGAAGAATCCATGTTATAAAAAAAATTAGAAGCAGTCTTGAGTAATCGGAACTCTTCCGCCAGACTGTTCAATGTCTTTCTGGCACTGCTGCTTCTATGTCTTCCTCCTCATCTGGCACTGGTTCAGAAGCACTCATCTCCATCAGGTCATCTCTGTTCATTCCTCTGGTGTGTTGTCTATTAGCTCTGGAATTTCCCCAAGATCTGATCTTGAAATCCTTTACCCCTTACCTTTTTTATTTTTTTGCCACATCCACAATCTCTTTCATGATTTTCTTGATTGGCTCTATGGTAAATCCTGTGAAGTCATACACAACATCTGGACAGTGTTTTCTAGCAGGAATTCATTGTTTCAGGCCTGATGGCTTTCACAGCTTTTTCTATAACAACAATGCCATCTTCAATGGTGTAATGCTTCCAGCTTTTCATGTTTTCTCTATTGGGGTTCTCTTCTATAACCTTGGCAATCCTTTCCATAGAGTACCATGTGTAACAATCCTTAAAGGTCCTTATGACCTCCTGATCTGGAAGCTGGATTAGAGACTTTGTGTTTGGAGACAAGTAAACTACTCTGGCGACTCTGTTAAATGCACAGGGTTTTCAGTGGCCAGGGGCATTATCCAATGTCAAAAAAAAAAAAAAAAGACTTAAAACATCAGTCTTTTACTGGCAAGTTATGTCCTGAATTCATGGAAAAAGCATCAATGGGGCCAGTCTAGAAAAAGCATTCTTGTTACCCATGCCTTCTTGTGCTACAACCAAAAGACTGGCAGCTGTTATTTATCTTCTCCCTTCAAGGCTCGAGGGTGGGCAGCTTTACAGATAAGGGCAGTACTGATCATAAACATGACTGCATTTGTACAAAAACAGCAGTCAGCCTATCCCTTCCTGACTGAAATTCGGGTGTTCATTTCTCTTCTGTACTAATAAAGGTCCTTTGTGGCATTTTTTTTCCCAGAATAGGACACTTTCATCTGCATTAAAAACCTGTTCAGGTGTACAGTCTTTCTCCTCAATGATTTTCTTTTCTATATCTGGGAACTCATCTGCTGCCTCTTGGTTGACAAAAGCTCCTTCTCCTGTCATCTTCATATTTGTTAAGCCAAACTTCTTTCTACAATTATCATACCATCTTTTGCTGTCATTAATTTCTCTAGATTTATATCCTTCACCTTATTTTTGCTTTAAGTTGTCATATAATGACTGCCTTTTCTTGAATCACGGAGTCAATACGTATGCTTTTTTATAACAATCCTGCACCCACTCTAAAAGCTCCATTTTCAATGCAAGTTTTATAAAAAGGTATTTTTCAAAAAGTGCAAGGCTTTTGTACCTGCTGGTGTAGCTGCAGCAATGGCTTCTCAAATTTCCTTTTCTTTTCGTTTCTTTTAAAAAATAGTCATTATGCTGTATTCATTCATCTTGATGTGGTGGGCCAATGCAGCTACACACCTCAATCTGTGGTACATATCAAGAAATTCAGCTTTTTCTCATGATGTCATGATTTGTCTCTGCTTCTGATAACTAGTGAGTGGCACTTTATGTGGGTCCTATGATGTAATTCAAGGTCTATGGTATTGTACTAAACACAATGAAAACACCCAAGAACTGTGAGAGATCACTTGTAACTGTTACATACAACTTACTGGAGAGGTTAATTGCTCACATGCAGAATGTTAGTGTTGTACCGTGCTTTAAGCAGATACTTGCAACACTTGGGCTCAACACAATAGCAACAGAAGATGGCTATGAAATTATTACAGTAGTACTATATGTAACAGTTAATTTTATGCAGTTATGATTTAAAATGTCTTTTTGTTTGTTTACATTTCTCTCTGCTGCCAATGGTGCCATATATGGTCTGTGAGGTTTTGATAAGTTTTAACATATTATAAATGTGTATATTGTATGATAGTAAATGATAAAACAGACTAGTATCTGTATATATTTCATGCATTCCTGAGACATCTTTTTCTTAATTTTTTTTCAATATTCCTAGGATATGCAGGTTGGAAGTTTTTTCAAGTTGTCACAAAGTTCCAAAAATATTTCCAATTTATTTATTGAAAAAAAATCTGTGTATAAGTGAACCTGTGCAGTTCAAATATATGTTGTTCAAGGGTCAACTGTATTACTCTACAGCCCCCATGGCTCTGCCAACTCACAAAGCCTATTCTTCTTGAGTGAGAAATAGTTTTAGAAAGAAGCATATGAGTAGGTTTCTTTGAATAAAAATTAGTTAAAAAAAAAAAAAAAAAAAAAAAAAACAGCAGCAGCTTAGAAAATTACTCAAAAACACTAAATACCTGAATCTAAAATTTGAGGGAAAACCTGAGGTCCCCTATTTGAATTGTAAAGAAATCAGAGTATTCTAAAAACACTGTTTAGTTTGGAAAGGTAAAAAGTTAATTGACATAGACTCCCTTGTTTATGACTGTGCATCAACCTCCACCCCCACCTCAAAAATCACTGATGTAACTTTTTCTGACAAACTCATGCAAGTACACAGAATCATCAGACTATGCAAATTAGGGTTTTGGTAGCCAACAAATGCAAATACCCTCAAATTTATTCCGTTTAAAATAGAGGGATTATGTAATGGATTTGCTTAAAGTTGTCTCTTTTTTTGAGGTGCTAGAGCAGGTGATTCACCTTATATTTGCATGTATTCAGTACCTTTTCAACCACACACACACAATCCCCTTTGGAATTGTGAAGTTACATGTAAGATATGGCAACCTACAGTAATGCTGAAGACACAGACTCAGGTTGTAACAGACTGCATGGGGTTAAGGATGGCCATAAACAGACACGTTCCTATGCCCAAGTTCTGGAAGATGACCAACACCTTAACATTTTACCCCACTGTCTTCCAAAATGTAAACGCTGCCCTGTATGGTCAGAGCAACAGTGGAGACATCTCTTTTATTCACATATAGGTCTTAGGAGAGAAGAAAAATAACAATGATTCATTAGGCTTATTGTATGACAAGTACTTTACATTTATTTTGCCCGATTCAAGTCTTCCTTAAGGGATAATGTTTCCATTTTCCATTTTATGGATGAGAAAATGGATTTAAAAAATAGACTAAGTCACTTTCCCATGCAGGTACTAAGTGACAGAGCTGAAACCTCACATGCCTCATGCAAAGGTCAATGCCCTAAGCAATGGCCTTCAGTGACCCACTGGACAGAGAAGTCCACCTGAGGCATCAGGAATACAAATCTGAGAAAACGATAGTTCCAAGTATGCCAGATAACACAGCTTTATTTCCTATTTGAGCATACTAAATTTACTTTATAAATAGAAAAACCCAGCTTTACTCCGAAGAAACAAGGAAGGTATCTTTATAAGCAAAAGACACATACAGACATGCATACAGTTGGCTGTTGTTTCAAGTTTCTCCAGAAACAGTGGCAATGACATTCCTATTAAAAGTTGGATACATGTTTCTTCTTAAAAACAAAAACAAACACAGCCCTTCAAAATTCAGAAATCAAGACAGAATTGAATATATTTAAACTTATAGAAACATTATGAATAAATGAATCCCCTTTAGTACACAGCCTGGAACAGTTTTATCTTCAAGCTAGGGACAATCTTCAGCCTCCATTTTCTCACAAGGGAATAATATACAATTCAGGAGGACATTTTACGGCAAAGAAAAAAGAATGAGGCCAAACACCATTCTCCCTTAGTGCATATAACATGTATAACTGAGCACATGACAATCGGGCCATTAAAACAAAGCTTTTCAAAATAAATGTTAAAAACTTTATCCTGAAAAGACACATCAGCCAGATCTTTGAAACAGTGCAATGATCACAAGGGAAGCCAATCCTAACCGATACAGTTCTAAGACAGTACATATGTATGTTTTAAAATGTGATGCACAGAGATCAATCTTCCGGAGAGGTTATCAAGGTCAAGTCCTACTGAAGAGATTTTAGAATTTTTGTTGTTTTTTAAATGATAAAGCAAACTCCTCTAATATTTTTCAGCAAGCCTAAGGGATGGTTTGGGAAAATACCAACCTTTTTCTTTGAAATTCCAAGGTTCACACAATCCTGGCAGCTCTCAGGATCTTGTTGCGGATCTGAACAGAGTCACAAACTAAAAGAATAGGTCAGGAAATGTTAGATCTACCTGAGGCCGTAGTGGGAAGCCTGTCAACAGGATGCTAAATGTCCTTTCACTGAGTCCCTGTATATTTAACCAATCGTGAAAATATTCTGAGAGGAATCTGTGAATTTTCCCCCCAGAAAAGTGGATTTGGGGAAAAAGAGATAAAATTTATACTTTGATCCATTTCCATTAGAGATAAATTTCATCTACTGCTATAACATTAAAATAAATGGCCCGAGATTAAAAGTAAAACAAAACCTTATACTGAAAGAATAACTCAGATTATAAGTTAAAAATTACAGAATTTAAAAAGGATGAGCAAACTCTGTATCTAACCAATTTGTAACCATAAGACAAACGTGAGTCCAGACTGCCCAGCTATACTGCATCTATAGGGAGACAATGTTCTGGGACTATAAATGGATACCTTTGTTATCAGATAAGTTGAATTGGAGAAAGAAGCTTTTTGATGAAGAATTTTCTCAATAAAAATGTATTGCTTTCAGAGAAAATAATTTACCAGGTTCAAACAAATGCACTCAACAAAGATAAAATTATTCTTAATCAAGTCCTTTATGCTGTGCAGAGCACCCATAAGGCATCTTAGTCAAAGTCTCAAACTCCGTTTAAAAGCAAGAGGACCTGGTGAATGCCATAGAGAGGAAATCTGCAGAAGTAGTATACAGCCTCAGTAGAATGACAAAAAAGACAATGATTAGAAAACACACACACACACACACACACACACACACACACACACACACACACACACACA